TTGTTGTCAGTTTCATTTCTTTTCTCTCCATCTCTGTTCAAAGTAAGATGACATCTCGATTTATGGCAAGATTAAAAGAATATCAGGTACTTTGAAAAGAAAAAGAAGTCTAGAAAAGTCCATAAAATAGTTGTATTATACACAATGCAAAACAAAACAAAAACTATCTCATTGGAAATGATAACAGACATGCCTTGGGCTCACCCTGGTGCAGATCTCCTGTTTCTGGGCACATAGGGATGACAGAGAAGGCTGTGTGACTAGTTTTAATTGATAAAGACTATAAGGGCTGAAATAAGCTTCTGCAGTCACTGCTTCCTTTGTTTTGGTAGTCCTGGAAAAGGAATGTGCATCCATAAAGTCAGCCCACCCTGCAATGCTGAATGACTGCTTGAGAGACTCCTGCCCTAGAGTCACATAGACAGAGCAAACTTTGGATGAGCAAGAAATAATTCTAGATAGAGAAGAGGGGTGAGAGGGAAAGGGAGGGGGAAGGGGATTAGCAAGGATGGTGGAATGTGATGATCATTATTATATAAAGTACATGTATGAAGACTTGAATTGGGTGTCAACATACCTTATATACAAACAGAGATATGAAAAACTGTGGTACATATGTGTATTAAGAATTGTAACGCAAAAAAGTACATGTATAATGGCATAATTTGATGTGAACATACTTTATATACAGAGATATGAAAAATTGTGTTCTATATGTGTAATAAGGATTGTAATGCATTCTACTGTTGTCATGTATTTAAAAAAATAATAAAATCAATTAAAAAAGGAAATAACTCATGCCTTTGAGATGCTGTGGCCATTTGCTACTGCACTGTGAGGCTTAGTCCTCCTTGACTAATTCAGGAATACATTTATGTTTTCTTATTTTACATTTCCAATGATTTTCTCAGTCAAGTTCAAAAAATAATGACTGTCATTTCTAGATTACCTGTACACAATTCAAGGTTGAAACTTTAATCAGTTTTGAAAGGTGACAAAGAACGTGGGATGTAAAGAAAGACTCCTGCCTCACAGCCCTGGCTTGGCCACTGATGGGCTCTTAAGATATTGGGCAGTCAGCTTTCAGTGCCATAGTTTTCTCAATCATAAGATGTAGGTAATAATGGTGAACAAGAAATGAGTTTATAAGGAAAAATAATATACACAAACACTGAGGAGAGTGTTTGGGAGAAAGTAAGCCTTTGATAAGGTTAAATATCATGTTTTGCCACTTTGAACCCCAACAATAATAGGCACACACTGATTCATTTAACTGGTCCCAAATCTCCATTAGTGCTTAGAAGAGTTGACATTACTTTATCAAATTGTGGGAAATCATAGGTATTGTTTAAGAATGAAAGGATGAAAACCGTTTTATTAGGAATCTTTCTAGGGCACTGGTTCTTTACAGGTTCCACAGAGTGAACCCACTGCTATTTTAGTTCTAGAGATCAATGTTAAATAGATGAAATTCACAAATGAAATACCAGTGAGTGATAGTGACACATTCAGGGCCCATGGCAAGAATACTAGGGAATAAAATTTCTTACAGAAAAGATCCAAAATAATAGTATTTGAACTTGTAGGGGGGAAAAAACTGAAAGGTGAAGTGGCAGGTATAATACATGAGAAAATGAGGCTTGCATTATTCAGGAGCTCATTCATTTTAGACGGTAGCTAAATTGCCTGAAATCCCTTTCATATTCTGCAAAGATCAAACATATTAAGAATGTCAAAACAACATTAGGTAACCCTTTTCAAGCGTCAAAATAACTTCTCAGAATAAAGGAAAGATTTGCAAAGTTCAGGGCTATGAAGAACACAATTAAATGGTGATGTTTGGGGATGAAAAAGCAAGGGAGTCATACTAACACCAAAATGTCACCCCACATATACTAAGTGGCTGATTTTGGCAAAATACTGAAATTGAAGTGCTGGATTCCTACCCTTGTAAACCAAGGTAAAGACATTTACTTTATATATTATTGTTAGAGATTATTAGAGTAAATCTACTATACACAATGTTTCAGAGAGAAGTTAATATGTCAGTCTGCCTTTTTTGTTCACTCTAGAAGATATGAAGAATATTTACTTCTTATTTCTCTTTGGACTTCAAATGTTGCTATGCTCCATATGGATTTAACTGCATTTCTAAGAGGGGGCTACTTACAAAGCCTCTTTATGTTCCACATTAGTGTTTTTTTTTCTCTCTCTCTCTAAAGATAAGAATGATAAATCCAAGGGCTTCAAATGAAATGACACTCTCCATAATTACTGCTCCACAAAGGTGTAGTTAACTGCAGTTTTACGTTCAACACCTCTGAGTGTCCTAGCAGTAGCATGTCTGTCATTATTTCAGAATCATACAGCTGGATTCCAAAGCTACAAAATGTTTACTCTGAAAATATAATTATAGTGTTGCAGCTACCCATTGACCTAGAAAATGTCATGTGATTTTTGTGATAATGTCTAGTAATTGTCAGATTCTATGCACTTTACCAAATTATGCGATATGACATTTTAAAGAAATTTATTGCTCATAAATCATTTCCTCACTTAGAAAACATGGGCATTTTATCAATTTAGTCTTTTGCTATAATTCTGAGTGTACATTTTAGAAAAATTTGCTACCAACAGAGAATTAGGAGAAAGAAACCAAATCTTCAGTATAATTATAAGACTAAGCATTAGATTATCACATGTAGTCCATGGAGGGGGGGAAATCAGGTAAGGAGTGATTCATGAGTTGATTATAACATTCCTAGTGCAATTATATGCAGAACTACTCAGATTTTTCTTCACACAGCACCCAGAAAGATCTATAATTAGGATCTACAGATAAAAGGTCTTATATAGTTTCAGAGACTGTGTAGCTGCTGTTTAGTCAAGCTAAAAGCAATTACAGATCTGTCCAAAGTAGGTGGTATAAAATACTGTGACTTATTCCTGTATTTATTAAATAATAATGATGCATAATATATATAAAATAAGATTTTTAAGTTAATTAAATATCTTCTACAAAAAATTCATTTTTTCCCAAAATATTATTAAATTAATAAGGGGAAGTATGAACATTATATCATATTAGAAGTGTAGGAATTTTTTTCTTTTTAGATACCTTTGCATTGTATTTTGTAAAGATATTTTCATATTAGGCCTTAAGTATGATGTAAAAATATTGGTTTTATTTCTTTTTATAACTTTTTATAAATATTGGTATATAGATAAGAACTTTGGTCAATTTTTTTTTATCTTCATTAGAGATACAATAACCCCCCAAAATAGAAAAAATCATGTCTAAACTAAAGAGTCAAAATTTTTTCTTATTCTAACTTAAATAATGAGTGCCATGCTTGTTCAAATACATTTTATTTTTATACTATGAATGGATTTTATCATAAGCAGTGTATTGCCATTTTACATTTCCTAGGATCATTACTATCAAAAGAGAATGGATGCTATCTCTGTGTTACATACCATTATAGATAAAAGTGTTCAAAAGCATATCATTAAAAAGTAGCTGCTCTTATGTTTTTTTCTGTTTTGGTTTCTTATGAGGAAAGATATCATGTTTTATGATGATTTGAAGGAAAATGTAGAGTGCTTGTACTTCAAAATTTAAATTTTGAAAGCATGTTGGCTGATAACAAAGACTATACTGCCATCTATGACATTTTAATTATAGTTTCCAAGGAAAATATAATGATGCTATATATGTTATTATCCATATTTCACAAGTGTATGTATACTTAAAATATAATCAAGCTTCAGTGAATGTTGCAAAATTATCAGTTGGTCAAAAAGACAAAATAGTATAATATAATCCTTAGATTAATGAAATAATGAAATAATCTGAGTACAAAAGTCTCAATATTTTTGTAATCTAATATTTAACATTGATTATAAATAAATAAAATTTACCAAGGAGTAAAACCAACAATTGTAACATGTTGGGGTTAAGATTCAACTCAAATTTTAGGCCAATAGTTAGTTATAAATGTGTTGAATTAAAAATGGGTGAAATTTTGGTATAGAACACCAACCCAAAAGAGAAATATGATCTTTCTTGGGGAAGCTTCGTCTACACTTTGAGGAAGAGAGATGGAATTGAATCTCTGAGGTTTTTTTCTAGCATATGACACAATGTCCTTCTTCAATCAGCTTGGAATGATTCAACTTATTTAACTTGCTGTATTGCAAGCAAATTATCTACTCTGCTGATGACTAGTGATTGCAAGATAGGTCTACTTTGAGATCCAGCTTGGTTTCCAGAACTCAACAAGGGTCAAGATTTTCTCAGACAATATGGTGGTTTGTAACTGACTGAAGTCATTGTAACTGACTGAAGAAGGAAGATGAACTAAAAAAAGAAAAGTTTATGTCTTCTATGACTGTTCATAATCTTCAAAGGTTTAGCACTTGACACAAATATGAAGGATAGTAATTGTTTAAACCAAGAAGCACAATGAAATCCTGAGTTATCTCAAGACTGAATGCATCCAGTAAAAAGTTAGCATATTATTTTGGTATGCAGCAAGTTAACCATTTATAGCCTGTGTCATACATTTTAAATGTATTGATCATACAGTTACTATATTTTAGATTTAGCTTTTCTTGATTATTTTTCTTAGGAGTTAAAACTATTTAAAACACTGTGTTATTCTGCTTGCATTATCTTTATGTCCAAGACATGAAGATAAAACAATAGGCTGAGCAAAACCTTAACATTCTGTATTTAACTCATTTGATTATGTATTGGGAAAGCCTGTTTTATTTTCATATTCTATCCAAAATACATTATCATCTTTTAATAGAAAGTTGTTAAAACAGTATTCCAAATTACCATGACATAGATGAGAAAAAACAACAAAGAAAGGATTACTGACTCCCTCTCTGTAACAGCAAAAGTTATTTAAAATCAAAAGTCATATATTCAAAAGGATCAGCTTACCCAATATTCAGCTTACACAATGAACAAATTTCCACCAATAACAATTCTCTCTACTCTGGACCAGTTTATTTTCAGGCATTATTCTTCACCATGACTCTAAGGGAAATAAACTCATTCTACCTCTGGGACAAAACATCTTATCAGTGCAAATCAACGCTATTGGGAATCAAACTTGGCTCTTGGGTAGGCAAGTCAAATAAGACTGAAGAAAAAGGACCTTTATTTGGCAATAGAAGCAAAAGATGCTATGGAAGAGCAAAGAGACATCTTTCAACTGTGAAGAAAAATAGCTTCAGGCCAATGCTGAACACAACCTGTTAACAGAAACATCTATATTTTTCCTTTGAGTGTCCTGTGGGAATGTGGGTTCTTTCAGGGAGGCAGAGAACTTGCTGGTGCAGGAGGCAAAACATTCCACAACTGCAATGACTTCCAGTGTACCCTGGAAGAATGCTGAGTGTGACAAGAGTTTATAAGGCCTGGCAACATGCAGGGAGATCAACAGGCAGCTCCTGAAATACCATGATGGAAGTGGACAATATGAAAATGTGTAGATGCGTTTATGACATGGGTTATATGTAATTTAGAAAACTCTGACATACACTCACTGAGATCTTCTCCAAACTCTGTTAGAGTTGCCACCCACTATGATGAATATTAACATAGGATTAAATGAACCAATACTTCATTTTAATTCTGAGGAACACTTGGTTTTGTCATTATTTACTATTATTTATTGATATTCATTTCCACAGACCAAAATATTTTATTACATATATAGCTGAACATTTAATTAGTAATTGTATAGCATAGAAAATAAACTTTTGGTATTATCCTCAGCATTTAATAATGCAAAACTAGTGACAAACATCTTTAGAAAAATTAACAAAATAGTCCTTCTGTATTAAAATTTCTTATTAAAAAGCATTAGATCAAAGTTAAGAGTGTGACATGTTTTAATGCATAGATGAGTTAGGCAGGAATAAAATGGATCACACTGTGGGTTTATTAATAAATCAAAATATTTGAAATCACATCTCTCATTATAAATCAAAATATTTGAAATCTGAAGGTCACAGTTTGTCATAGGTCAAGTGCAAAAACAATGCATTCAAAGGTTTCATTGTTCTGCAGTTTTTGATGATGTGCATTTAAAATAATGTGAACTCAGGACATAAGCAATGCACTGAATACTTACCAGGTGGTTTTTATGCCACTTTGTTGAATGCAGGATTAGTTTATTTGGGCTTTTTATTGCTTGAGTAGAAAGTGCTCATTACTTATTATTTTATGCTTATAATATAGAAAATAAAAATAAAACCAAAAAGTTTTTTAAATGGCATACATCACACTGTTGTAGTGGTTGATTTCCTCAAGATGGTCTTCTGTGGTTTTGGTGCAGTGGGAGGAGGCACAGTTGCAGGTCTGAGAGGGGGGAAGCTGTTACTGTGGCTTATTCCCAGTCCCCCATTTTCTAGGGGGAAAGGAGGAAGATGGGGTGGAGGAGGGAGGGGAGGGCCTTGGAGAGGAATCTTTCCTGGTGGGTGTATAGGTTCACTGTGTAAGTGGATCTCCCTGTTTTTTATGTTATACCGGGTATCACAGTCAGGACAATAGCCATGGTACTGCACTTTTTCATTGAACCGTACTCGTTCCCGAGGCCCTGCCTGGGGACACCTGTCTTTTTCAGGTCTGTGCATCAGAGGCGGCACTGGAGCCTTGTCCAAGTTACTATTGGGTATGCAGCAGATATCTCCATTTGGAATTTTCTTGGGTCCACCTGGTAAGCCTCCATTCCGTAGAAGGGTGCCATTGGTCTTGACAGGATTGCCAGTTGGCACCACCCTTTGAGGGTCTTCATACTTCACAGGTGTCAACCGTGGAGGAGGTGGTGGAGGGTTTGGCTTTCTCAGGACTGTGAGGATAGCAGATGGGTGCGCTGGAGGTTTAATAAGCGGTGCGTTAGCCTGCACTTTGATCTTCTCTATGCTGGAGGCCGTGGTGCCGCTGGAGCTACTATTCAGTGTGTCTGTTTTGGAGCTGTCTGTCATCTCATCCTCCAGCTGTAGGTCAGAGGTCAGGGTATCAATCTGGTCAACCACCTGGTAGAAAGGACAAGGTAATTGTGTTGAAGAATGATTCAAAACAGAATATGCTAGAAACTTCTTTTTTTTTTTTTTTTGGTCTAGCTATCATCTGCTATGGGAGCATTGACTGATATTGAACTGTGAATTCCACTGCTGCTTCAAATTTTCAGTCAATAAATTTACAGAGCAGCTAAATCCCACAAAGTGCTAACTGCTTGATAGCACAATTTCAAATGCCTAGAATGTAATACACTATTTATGTGCACATTCTATTCCTGGCTCTGATACACCCACCAAAGAGAATTCTGATGTAAAAATGTATCTTCTTTGTAAGAGAATATGACTTCTCTCCTGCTTAGCACATAGAAAGCTAGAGGAGAAGATTGTTTCAATGCAGAAAGTAAGAAAAAGCCAAATAATGTGCAAAATTTCAATCATGGTTTTGCTTCTGAAAACATGATTGGCCCTTGTTAGGCAGTGCTGAGTTGGCTCGAGCACATCGCCTGCTCTCACTCCTAAAAATCCTCCCATCTTCAACCCTAATAAATTCCCTTCTTTTCTGTTCTCAAATCTCTCAGTCTTCTTTTTGACCACTATTGTTGCCAGTCTGCTTCCTGCCACAGGGTGTTTACACATATGAATATTTCTTCTTGAAATGCTCTGGCCTCTCTTCTACATCAAATTAACTCTTTCAAATATTAAGAGTTTTAGTTCAGGAGGCATTCATGAATGACTTCCCAATCCAACTGCAATTATAGGTCAAGCTAATATGTTCAATATCCCCAAGCAATCTTATTTGTTTCATTGAACACTTTCACATCATTTTAATGACATGTTGAGCAGTAGTGTGAATACTGAAATAATGTTTCCCACATAGCCCCTAATCTCAGTGAGAGAAGGGCCCTTGATTGGTTTTGCTGTTATATTCTGATGACCTGATATAGTGACTGATACTTATTAGGGGGACAGGAAATATTTGTTAGGTAAATACCTTGAGGATCCTTTCTGCAGTTCAAGTGTGGGCATAAGGATTTTCTTTGTTGTTTGACTTTTAGAGTTGTCATTATTTTTAAACTTACACAATTCTTCCAGAAGACATATTCTGTAAAAAAATTTAGCCATAAATGATGGCACAAATGGTGGTACACTGGATCATTCTAAACTCGATATGTAAAGATTGGAGTGGGAAGGTATAGCTAACAAATCTGAGGTAATGGAACTGTCATGGCTCATGGGCACTGGGTACCAGTTCACTTGGAGTTGTATCTACCCCAGGTTTTTAATTGTATTAAATATTTGTGGCAAAAGAGAGGAAACCCATCTACTGTGAGGGAAGTGAAGCCAATTTTCAGAGCTGATAAAATACTGATGATGTGATAGGCCATGCCTCTTTAATTTCTGCACTGTCATTTCCCAAGTGTCTATTAAATGCCAAGAGAAGAAAACACACACACACACACACACACACACACACACACACACAAACAGTGCTGTCATGTAGCAGGACATCTAGTAGAAGGGCTGACCTTAACTGGATCCTCAAACAAATAAAAGCACAATTTCCCCAAGTGCTTGAAAGCATATGCAGCATTAAAGATGAGAACAGGACCCCACAAGAGAGGTGGGTAAAGTCCTCCTGGAAGGTGAACTGCAGCTAACTGGCAGGAGCATGGTGGCTCAAGCAGGAAAGAGTCTGATCAAATCCCCATGAGGAAGAGGGTGCCTGAGTGAGAGCTATTTAAAGAGGCTCTAGGATGAGGGGAACCATAAAATAGGATGATACAGAGGGACCCTGAGAGTCCTTGTAGTGCTGTGAAAATGTTCCCACTTAGTTTAAAAAGAGTTCCAGAAGTTAGAGAACCAGTGTTCAGACAGACAATGAGTTTGTTCATGGGAACCTTAATTGATATATATGCATACATGCATGTAAATATACATAAAGCTAATGTGTACTCTAGTTAAATTATACACAATTTCAAATAGGAAAATGTATGCAAACTGTCACCTGAGACATACAGAGTTCAACTACAGAACACTGAAAAATAATGATAAAAATTTTGCATCAAAAAGGAATCTAAATATTCAAATAATTACAGAGTAACAAAAATTAGGCAAACAGGAGATGTTTACAAAAATAATAGACACCTCAAGACAACTTAAAAATACATTTCATACTGAATGACAGCTATTGGAATTTTGTATAGTTTAACTTTTATGCAAAAATGAGAGAAATAGACCTTTTCAGATAATAAAGATTAAGAGATTATGCTGCTTACAGCTCAGTATTGAAAGTAACAAAAACAAAACAACATTCAATGAAAATACAGCTTGGTATTGAAAGTAACAACAACAACAACAAAATTCAATGAAAAGTTAAAAAAAAACAAAAGGGACTGGAATAGAAGCAGCACAGATGAACACAGAAATTGGTCAATAAGTCAAAACATACATCAATTATAAAACAATAATACATTAATGACTAATTTACAGCAGGATTCAAAAAACATAAAAATTAAAATACTTGGGAAAATAACATGTCTAATTGATGAACAATAAAAGTCCAAGCATATTAAGGTCTCATTGTATCCTTTCAAGTGTGGGAGAAAAAAAAATTACTATTTCATTTTTATTGAACTTAGAGCATATTAAGTCAAGAATGCATTTGTAAACTTTTAGGGTAACTATTGAAATGATAGACTTAAAATTATAACTTCTACCGCTGGAGTTGTGGCTCACTGGTAGAGTACTTGCCTAACATGTACAAGGCCCTTGGTTCAATCCTCAGTACCACATAAAAATAAATGAATAAAATAAAGGTAGTGTATCCAACTACAACTATAAAAAATGCATTAAAAATTATAACTTCTAAAATAAAAAAGGAATAAAAAATGGGTATAGAGGGGCGGGGCTGGGGCCCAGTTGCAGAGCGCTTACCTGGCAAGTATGAGGCACTGAGTTCGATCCTCAGCACTGCATATAAATAAATAAAAAATAAAGGTACATGAACAACTAAAAAATATTTAAAAAAATAGGTATAGAAGCTCCAATAAATCTTTCAAAGGAAGAAAATAAGAAAACTAACAAATGAGGAATAAAAAAGCATGGTAAAAAAAATCACTACACATAAGAATATAAATAATTTCAACATATTTGTCATCGTAACAAATACAAATAAAGTAAGTTATTTTAAAAAGTAATTTCTATTTAAAAAAAAGACTGAATATAAAGTGAAAGAAATAAGATATCAGGCAAAAAAAAAATGGAATATTGATGCCAAGGATTGAACCTAGGGTGCTTTACCACTGAACCACATCCCCATCCCTTTTTCATATTTTGTTAAGAGATACAGTCTAGCTGAGTTATTTAGGGCCTCACTAAGTTGCTGAAGCTGGCTATGAACTTGACATCTTCCTGCCTCAGCCTCCAGAGCCACCGGGATTATAGGCACATACCATTGTACCTGGCACAGCCTAAGCCTTAGGAGAGAAAAATATAGTATCAACACCAATTTAGGTGAGTAAGGGAATGATACAAAACTGAAAGTTCACGTTCATATAAGAACACATAGATACACACAAGAAATTGGGAAAAAGTTATGAACAACTAACTCACATAAAATGAGCACCGTATTTCCAAAGGACATAGGATATATTTGATCTCACTAGTACTAGAGAAAACATAAACTGAATGAAAATGAGAAAGCATTCAAATAGGTAAAAATCAATAAAGTGAGCTCTTGTGAATCACCAGGGATATATCTCAAAAACCTGATACTGAATAGTTTTAAAAGCTATAAAAACGTATGTTCAGTATTCATATACTGTTTATATGGAAACACAGGTAGTTTAGTTTATACAATATGGAAATAAATAATACACAAGGAGGAAAAGGAATGGGTGTTGGGAGCCATCAAGTACATAGCAAAATTATTTAATTTTCAAAAATTTGATATATAGTAATTATGATAAAATGTTAACATTTCTTAAGTCAAAGTTATTTTTTCTATATTAATTTATTTATTTCATATTATATATATACACATATAATTTTGTAATGAAAAACTGAATTTGAAATAAAGTTTATTGTGTATATTTAAGTTATGCACATGATGTTATAAAGCATACAGGGAATATAATAGTCCCTACAGAGGAACAAATCTATGTACGCATCCTTTTACATGTTACTCATTTTGCTTCTCGGTGGCCAGCACAGCTACAGTCTACTAATTTAGCACTAAGTCATGAATGCCATACACTATTGTTAACTATAGTCCTCATGCTGTATGTTATATTTTTGACTTTTTCATCCTATATATCTACTACTTTGTATCCTTTGACTTCCATCTCTCCCTTACCTTTCCTTTCCCCTGTTCCTGGTAAAAATATACCTATTTTTATAAAAGAGAGCAGGTTTAGAAAAAATTAAGTGATTATGTAATATAACTTATTTGAGAAAATAAAAATTCAGTACAGATGACTTATATACCTCTTAAACTATAAAGAATAAACAATAAATATACTGTAGGGATGTCATCAAAATAGAATTCAGGAAAAATAGATTTACCTAAATTAAAAAAAATCAGGAGCTCATTCTGTTATGCTTCCACTAAGCCTTAATGTACTGGAATTGTCTGTTTATGTCTATTTTCCTTAGACTATGTAGGGACTTTCTATCCATTATCTCATGCAGAGAACATAGTGATTGCCCACCTTCAGTATTCAATAGAAATTTGCTTAGTGAAAGAATTGAATAAATCTAAACTCAGAGAAAAGTAAATTCCAGCCTTTATCTCCATTCCTCCCCAGCTTTCCACACTTTGTTCTGATTTACAAAGTCTTCAACCCCACCAAACCCCAATCGTCCAGAAAGACACATAGGAACTGATTAGGAAGAGAGAAAGGAAGGCCGAAAATGATTTGGTGAGACTTTGTTACCTCTTCCTTGTATTCCCTGACTCTTAAAACCTTACAACAAAGCTTGGCAGAAGATATGTGCCATTCCACTCCTAACAACTA